GTAGTCTCAGGAAATAAAGCCCTGAGGGGTAAAGGCCATGACATATGTCCCTTACATTCAAATGATCTGAAAAAACAAAATATGGGATGTGTGTGTCTACTTATAAATACATGTATGTGTAAGTAGACTAATATTTATGGATAGAGAATGAGAACACAGGCAAATAGAGTAAAAGGTTTACAAAAGGTGTATGGGCATTCTTTGTATTTTCTTATGCTTCCAATTTTTCTGTAAGTTTGAAATTATTTCCAAATAAAACGTTTAAAAATTATTTTAAAAAGGGAGAGACGGTGGTTTCAGTTTACATTCCAGCATGGGGACAATTCATTTAGGTTCTTTCTCTGAGTATAAAATGAGAGGTTTGAACTAGATGTCTTTGAAGACTCCATTCTGTCCTAAATTTACATAGGGAGTGTGATGAGAGTCAATTAGAGCCCCTTTAAGAAACTGCTAAAGAGAATACATCGCAAAAGTGCCTTTCTGATTCTTCTCATTGAGACACTACTAACATCTAACTATCTAACATCTAATGGATTTCCGTTTCTGCCAAATCTCTTATCTTCAGAATCAGAGAAAAGGTAGTGCATTTTTTCATCTTTGATTGTGGCTGCCTGGACTTACTTCACACATAATTCTCTGCACTATTATTATACTATAGTTTACTATTAGGATACAAGTTCCACCAAAAAGGGGCATGGGGAATATTTTCTTTATTCTACCACTGACATTATTTCTTACCAAGGCACCTGAAATATGTTACTGATTCTAGAGAGAAATCCAACTGCTTTTTAAAATCTTAACTACAGGTTACTATGCCATGTTCACCTAGTTTGCTTATAAGACCTGGGGTGATGTGTTTGTATTGCATGTTCAGTGGGCAATCAGTAGTACTGGGTGATTTTACTTTGATTTGATCCTCTTACTCCTTTAGGATCAGATTCACAGGGCTTTGTTCAACTTCAAAGTGCTTATTTTCCCTCTTTGATCAACTTCCACCGCAGTTTGCTAATAATGTTCAACTGGGACTCGTCTTCATGGTACTTACTGCTAAAGGAACCCAAACGGTCCATTCCCTAGTTGGCAAAGACTGCTGCTTTGATCCTCCTCAATGCAGTGCTCCTTCAGGGAGACCTCAGAACTGGCCAACACGCACAACAAAGCTTGATGACCCCTGTGAACCAACAAAAGTGGCACAGGGATGAGGAAATAATTTAAAGGGACAAGATAAAAAGAAGATAATGCAACACGCTCCGCCACATTCTAGCTTTGTAAGGTAAAGCAAATTATTTTATCTCTGTAAGCTTATTTCCTCCTCTGTAAAATGGGCATGATACAATTGTATCTACCTCTTGAGTTGTGAGGATTTAAAACCAAAATCCACATAAATAATGTGGCAGGGTGCCTGGCCCATAGTAAGCCTCTACAAAGGTTACGTATCCCTAATAAACAGTGACTGGTTTCCTCTGCCCAGCATCACTTCTCTCCTTAGCTATCTTTCCTTTAGGAAATTGATTCTCCCACATTGCACACGGTTTTGGTGGAGGTTGCCAATGGCAATACTCCATCCCCCATCCCAACAGCAGCTAAAGCAACCAGATCTATTCTGACAGAAATCTGAATCTTGAGATACAAGGACAAAGGTCAGTTGGAGCCCAGTCATTCACTAGCCAAAGAATTTGGTCTATGAGCTCTGCCCATTGAGATCCCATTCCCCAAAGGGTGGCCCCTGTTTAGGGTCCCCCTCCATTTATATATCTTTCCAATAATACTTCAATATGAATGAACGTCTGTTACTAGAAACTAGGAATCCTATTTGCTACAACATACATTTTGTTCACTAACTTACTCTTTGAACAAAACTTAATGGGTATGTACAAAGTACCTTCCTGAAGAAATGAATGAACTCCTATTTCACCAACTAAGCCAAGAAAACATTCCTCCTCCTTCTACACTTCCAGAGACTTTTATCTATCTCTTTTCTGGCACTTTTCACATTCAATTTTGTGAGGATTACTTCTGAATGCACATTTCCCCCATTTCTAGACTAAATGAAAGCAGGCGCTACATTGAATACGAACTTGTATGTTTTAAAGTACCAAGCACAATGCAAAGCAGAAAGAACTCAAAAAACACAAATGTAATAAACAAATAAATGTTCTACAGAAAGGTTAATTCATCTTCAGTTCTCCCACAGTGACTTCCTGATAGTTTTAGCTTGAGGACTAATACATCATTAAGTGTATGCAACACTCAGATACGTCAACAAACTTGTCTTTTTTAGGGTGAGCTGGGGTGGTTCTTCCTCTGTTCTAGTCCCAGGAAAATGAGTTTGAAGGAAAGTGAGCTTAGCAAGGAGCATTATGCACTCAGCAATAAAATAATGGACAGATATGCCAAGCTCTTGGATTGGAAGGATTAATATTGTTAAAATGACCATACTACACAAAGCAATCTACACATTTAATGCAATCCCTATCAAATTACCTAGGACATTTTTCACAGAACTAAAACTAATAATTCTAAAATTTATATAGAATCACAAAGGACCCAGAATTGCCAAAGCAATCCTGAAGAAAAAGAATGAAGCTGGAGGCAGGTAATGCTACAAAGCTACAGTAATCAAAACAGCATGGTATTGGCACAAAAACAGACATATGAATCAATGGAACAGAAAAGAGAATCCAGAAATTAACTCACGCGCCTATGGTCAATTAATCTTCCGCAAAGGAGGCAAGAATATACAATGGAGAAAAGACAGTCTCTCCAACAAGTGGTATTGGAAAAGCATCTGAGCTGCATGTAAATTAATGACATTAGAACACTCCCTCACATCATACACAAAAATAAAATGGCTTAAAGACTTACACATAAGACAACATAAAACTCCTAGAAGAGAACATAAGCAAAACGTTCTCTGATATAAATTGTAGCAGTGTTCTCCAAGGGCAGTCTACCATGGCAATAGAAATAAAAGCAAAAATAAACAAATGGAATCTAATTAAACTTATAAGCTTTTGTACAGCAAAGGAAACTATAAATAAAACGAAAAGACAACCTATGGAATGGGAGAAAATATTCACAAACAATGCAACTGACAAGGGTTTAAAGTCCAGAATATACAAACAGCTCATACAACTCAGTAACAAAAATACAAAAAATCCAATCCAAAAATGGGCAGAAGACCTAAACAAGCAATTCTCCAATGAAGACATACAAATGGCCAACAGGCACATGAAAAAAATATTCAATATTGGTAATTATCAGAGAAATGCAATTCAAAACTACCACAAGGTATCACCTCACACCAGTCAGAATGACCATCATTAAAAAGTCGACAAAGGAGAAATGCTGGAGAAGGTGTGGAGAAAAGGCAACCCTCCTACGCTGTTGGTGGGAATGCAGTTTAGTGCAGCCATTATGGAAAACAGTGTGGAGATTCCTTAAAAACCTGAAAATAGACTTACTCTATGATCCAGCAATCCCACTCCTGGGCATATATCTGGAACAAACTCTAATTTAAAAAGATACAGGCATCCCAATGTTCATAGCAGCACTATTTACAATAGCCAAGACATGGAAACAACCTAAATGTTCATCAAAAGATGACTGGATAAAGAAGTTGTGGTGTATACACACAGTGGAATACTACTCAGCCATAAAAAGGAAAAATAATGCCATTTGCAACAACATGGATGGACCTGGAGATTGTCATTCTAAGTGAAGCCAGAAAGAGAAAGAAAAATACTATACAATATCACAAAAGATATCGCTCATACGTAGAATCTAAAAAAAAAAAAAGACACAAACTTATTTACAAAACAGAGACAGACTCAAACACAGAAAACAAACTTAAGGTTACCAAGGGGGAAAGAGGGTAAGGAGAGATAAATTGCATGTTTGGGATTTGTAGATACTAACCTAGATATGAAATGGATAAACAACAACGTCCTACTGTATAGCACAGGGAACTATACTCAATACCTTGTTATGGCCTATAATGAAAAAGAATATGAAAAGGAATATTTTTTATTTACATATGTATCAATGAACGACTATGCTGTACACCAGAAACACACTGTAAACCAACTGTAGTGCAATAAAAAAATAAAATATTAAACAAAATAAAATGGCCAGAACTTAATGAACTTTTCTCATATGCCAGGTACTGTGGTACCACTGTATGTGGATAATCTCCCAATCCTCACAACCTTCTGAGACATGCTACTTTTTCAAGGGGAGAAAGGAAGCTCTGAAAGATTATGTTACTTGCACAATGTCTTACACGTAGTGAATAGCAGCGCCCCTTCAGCAGAGATTAATAGAGATGATCAAGAAAAGGATGTATCAAGTCTCAAAAACACTCTACGTCGTAAGCACAATACTGCAATAAGCAGACTCTTCTTTCTTCCTCTCTTTTCTTCTCCCAACATACATTTCTGACGCTAACATCCACGAAAGGATGGGTGCTAGCTCCAAATTAACATTTGCCAAATTCAAAGTTACCGGGAAGAGGAGGGAAGGGACCGTCGACAAAGGCATTCAGTGTGGTGCAGAGGACAGGGGTAGATTTGGGAGTTCTGCGTTCAAGATTCCAAGCCTCACTACTTATTCGCTGTGTGATCTTGGGCAAGTCATTCTACTGGAGACTCAGACAGCCTCGGCTCTAAAAACTGGGCCTGAAATACCTACACTGGAAGGCGCACTGGAAAACTCAAAGGGTAACGTCGGCCAGGTGCAGGGCACACTAGGGCTGTCCAAATTGGGAATACGCGCTTCATTGCAGAGTCCGTAATATACCGAGGCTGGGACCCAGC